CCTGCCTGAACCTTCTAAGGTTTTTTTTCTTAGTTTAAAAAGTGGTATAACATTGTGCAATGTAGTCATTCCCTGGGTATGAAGGGTTTTTCCCTATGTCTTTGATACCTGAATTGAGCTCTATTATGTAGTCAGTAATAATTGCAACTGGACTTGGCATGTATAATAGAGGTGTTATATTTGTTCTCTATACAGTGGATAAAAATATGAGGTTTAACAAGAGTATCCAAATTCATAAAAGAAGCATTACTGTGGCTAAAATCACATACTGAGCCTCACACAGAGAGGTGACTTCAAAACCTCACTCTCACCAATAAACAGGTCATCCAGACAAAAACCAAACAGAAAATGTTGGAGTTAAATAATATCATAAATCAAACAGACCTAGCATATAGTTACAGAACATTTCACACAAACATGGAAGAACTATGCACTTGCACACAAAGCAGATTTCAACAGATATAAGAAAATTGAAATAACACCCTATATCCTATCTGACCACCATAGCTTAAAGCTGGATATCATCAACAACAGAAAGTTTACAAACTCACAAACACTAGGCAACTCACTTTTGAATGATAAATGGATCAAGACAGAAATCAAGTAGGAAATTAAAACTTTTTAGAGTTGAATGAAAATGATGACACAATGTACCCTATCCTATGGGAAACGGTGAAGACAGTTCTGAGAGACAAGTTGATAGCACTAAGTGTCTACACTAAACAATTGGAGAGATCACATACTAGTAACTTAATAGCACACCTGAAAGCTCTAGGAAAAAATAATATGTGTGTGTGTGTGTGTAAGTATATATGTATGTATATACCCAAAAGGAGAAGACATCCATAAATAATCAAACTAAAGGCTGAAATCAATGACATGGAAACAAAAAACATAATACAAAGACTCAATGAAAGGAAGAGTTGGTTCTTTGAGAAAATCAGTAAGATTGACAAACTCTTAGCCAAATTAACTAACAACTGGAAAGAGAAGGTCAAAGTTAATGTAATTAGAGATGGAAAAGGAGACATGACAACAGACACTGATAAAGTCCAGATGTGCTTTAAAACATCTGTAATCTAAACTGGAACACCTAAAAGAAATGGGTTAATTTCTTGCCATATATGACCTACCACAGTTAAATCAAGATCAGATAAGCAATTTAAACAGACCCATAACTCCTGGGGAAATAGAAGCAGTAATTAAAAGTCTCCCGACCCCAAAAGTTCAGGGCCAGAGGGATTCAGTGCAGAATTCTACTAGATCTTCACAGAAGAATTAACACCAATATTCCTCAAACTACTCCACAAAATAGAAATGGAAGGGATATGAGGCTATAATTATCCCAATACCTAAACTATACAAAGACCCAACAAAGAGAGAAAATTACAGGCCAATATTCCTTATGAACACAGGTGCAAAAATTACCAAACCCAAGAACACACCAGAAATGTTATCTGCTATGATCAACTTGTCTTCGTCCCAGTGAGACAGGAATGGTTCAAGATACATAAGTCAATAAATGTAATACATACATAAACAGACTACAAAACCACATGATCATCTCATAAGATGCATAGTCTTTTGACAAAAATCCATCATCCCTTTATGATAAAAATCCTGAAGAGACTAGAGATACAAGGGACATATCTTAACATAATAAAGGCAGTTTACGGCAGTTCCACAGCCAACGCCAACCTAAACAGAGAGAAACTTGAAACATTTGCACAAAAATCAGGAATGAGACAAGGATGTCCAGTATAGTACTTGAATCTCAGTAGAGCAATTGCAAAATTGAAGGAGATCAAAGGGATACAAATAGAAAAAGAAGTCAGTATTTTATTTGCATTGACATAACTATACATAAAAGGCCCTAAAAACTCCATTAAAAACTTTTCATGTTAAACTGGGTGGTGGCACATGCCTTTAATTCCAGCACTTTCGAGGCAGAGGCAGGCAGATGTCTGTGAGTTTGAGGCCAGGTCTGGTCTATAGAGTAAGTTCCAGGGCAGCCAATTAATTAATTAAATGACAGCTCATGATGGAGAGGATGTGGAGAGAGGAGGACCCTTATCCTTTGCTGGTAGGAGTGCAAACCTGTGCAGCCACTATGGAAATCAGTGTGGTGCTTCTTCAGGAAGCTACAAATAGTTCTACTTCAAGAGCCAGCTATACTACTCTCGGGAATATCCAAAGGACCGCTATATCCTACAGCAAAGATGTTGTTCATTGCTGCTCTATTCACAATAGCCAAAGATTTACATAGCCTAGCTGTCCATCAAATGATAAATAATGAAATATAGTACATTTACATGATTGACTGTTATTCAGCTGTTTAAAAAGTCATTAAGTTTGCAGATAAATGGGTGAAACTAGAAAAAAAAATCATCCTGAGGGAGGTAACCCAGACCCAAAGAAACAATATTGTATATTTTCTCTTATATATGGTTGTTAGCTTTTAAGCTTTCAATATGTATTCTATAATCTGTATAACCACAGAGATTGGGTGTCTAGTAAGGAACTAGAGAGAAGAGGAGGATCTTCCAAGAAAAGGGATATAGATATGGATGTATTGTTTTTAAAAGACTGTGTTGAGGCTGGAGTGTGTGGACTAAATGGAGAGAGGAAAGAAGATAGGGGTGAGATAATGTGGGGAGAGGCAGCTGATACTAAGAGCCAATTGAGGGCCACCTATTGGAAACCTATTGCTGTAGAAGCTTCTTAGCATATATTTGTATATGTAAGAAATCTAAATGGAGCCATCAAATAATGGAGAGACAGTACCCCAACTAGCTATCTTATGCCACCAAGTAAAACTTCCAGTGCCAGGAATGGGGTTATATCTATTTGAGTCATTGGCCAAAGTAGCACCAAGGAAATTCCCAAACATCTCAGGCTATTGCCAAAGCGATTGTTCACTCTCCAAAACTAACGGTAAAGCCCCTTTGCTGATACAGGACTGACATAATTCATCAAACATGGAGAAATAGAGCTGGTGCCTAACTAGAGGCTTCATCCCTAAACACTGACATTCATGGTACTGGAGACAACTCTTGAGTGCTACCAGAGGAGAAAGGTCACTATTTACCTAGCTACAAGCCCTGCAATCAGCAAGGTATGCTGGTGCTATAGTGGCACAGATACTGTGGGAGTAACCAACCACTTTGATTAGATATGAGCACGTTCCATTAGATGGAACCCCCATATCTGACACTGCTGTGATGGCTAAGAACCCCAGACTAGAAAGGCCATAGGTCTATGAGAAACCTAATACTATTATTCTTCTAAAGCAGTGGTTCTCAACCTTCTAACGATGGTACCCTTTAATACAGTTCCTCATGTTGCAGTGATCCCCCAACTATAAAATTATTTTTGTTTCTACTAAATAATTGTAAATTTGCTACTGTTGTGAGTTGTAAACATCTGTTTTCCTGTTGTCTTAAGCCACCTCTGTGAAAAGACTGTTCAACCCCCAAAGGGGTTGTGACCCACAGCTTGAGGACCACTGTTCTAAAGGAACTATAGCAATATCTCCTAATAAGATTCTGCTATATCCATAAATCAGTCCCCAATTGAGCTATCATCAGAGAAACAACTTCTTGCAGTAGGTGAGAACTAACACCTAGAATTATAACTGTACAATACTCTGAGAGTGAGAGATTTTAAAACACTCATTCTTAAAAGGATATCTTATCTTCATCAAGCCATTTCCTTGGGGCTTAGGGAGCTGCATGGAAGAAAGGCAGAAAGATGGTCAGAGCTAGAGAGGATGGATGACTACAAGAAACCAATATCCTCCAAACAAGACAAATTCACTTATGAATTCATAGACACTGGCAGCATTCTCAGTGCAGGCACAGGTTCAAGGCCGAGGTAGCTCCCATGGTGAGAAGGGGAAGTGGACATGATCTCCCAACTCTAGCCAGGAAGCTGTCTGTGTTGATATCTGCCTGTTGCCGAAAGTTATTTTTCTCCAATGGAGCCACACTCCAGTATAGGCCCCACACCCAGCAGTAGGCATCCAACACAAAATGAACTAACTCAACAGTACTTTTGTAGATTTTCTGTCTCACGTTGCTTTGATTGGCAGTTTTTGTCTTATTGGTCTTTTGTTTGTATATTTTGGTCTCTATTTTAATGGGTGTGTGTGCATGTATGTGTTTCCTAGTTTTTTGTTCATGATTTTTTTTGTTTGTTTGTTGTTTGTTTGTTTTTTAAAGAGAGAATGAAAGGGTGTGAATTTGAGTGGGTGAAGGTGAAGAGGCTGTAAAAAAAATGAGGTTTGGACTTGGATTTGTTTTTAACAAACATAACAAACATGTAGCCATTTTCCAGCAAATTTATAAATTTATATTAGCAGACATGTTCTGAGACTCAGGCTTTTCCTCTTTTTAGAGTAGTAACATCTGTCTTTTAGGACTATTTAGCATGTGTATGTAGGGCAACAACATATTGGCTGGCACAAAATGTACAGGAAATGTTCATTTCTTGTCTCCAGAAAGATAATAAACTTCAGATAATTATGGCAAATATAGTAAATTTTCCTTTTCTTTTTTTCTTTTTTTTTTTTTTTTTTTTTTTGGCTTTTGGTTTTTCAAGACAGGGTTTCTGGGTTTCTCTGTGTAGCCCTGGCAGTCCTGGAACTTGCTCTGTAGACCAAGCTGTTCTCCAAATCACAGAGATCCACCTGCTTCTGCCTCCTGAGTACTGGGATTAAAGGTGTGTGCCACCACTGCCTGCTGACTAGTAATTTTTCAAGAGCTAAAAAAAAAAAATTTTTTTTTCAGGCAGGATTGCATGTAGCTCAAACCAGCCCCAAATTCACTTTATAGCTGAGGATGACATTGAACTTCTGTTCCTTCCCTGCCTCCCCAGTGTAACTGTGCTGAGGATCAGGCCTACAGCCTCTTACATGCTACTCAAGCACTCTGCTAACAGTTGTTAACTCCCGCTCTCCTGTGAACACTCAAAAGCAGTGCTTGTTTTCTGTGCCTTTGCAGCTAATAAAGAAGAAATCCTCTTGTTAACATCATGGATAACACAAAGGAAAAGAATAATTGCAAAGATGATCTTCTGCTCAGAATGGGACTAAATGATAATAAAGCAGGAATGGAAGGACTAGATAAAGAGAAAATTAACAAAATTATAATGGATGCCACAAAGGTATGTTCTTGCTTCTTTCAGTATCTGTGATTTACTATCCTTTGTTTTAATTAAAAATGTTTTAATATATCATAGCTATGAAATATATAAATGCTTTTCAAATCTGTTCTTTCTACACTGAATTTATATAATATGCATATAAAAGCAAAAAATGCACATGATTGTTCTCATTTTCTTTTTACCCTTTGTAAATGAATATTATAATTGGATAGGGATTTTATACTTGCACATGTGGATATAGTTTATTGATATAACCAGAATTGTTATTGATTGATATTTAAGTCATTACTAATCATTTATTCATTTATCTATATTTATTTATTTATTTTGAGTCAGGGTCTCAATATATAGCCCTGACTGCCCTGGTACTCATTATGTAAACCAGGATGGCTTTGAACTCATAGATATCTGCCTGTCTCTGCTGGGATTAAAAGCATATGCCACCATCACCTGGCTACATTTACTAATCTTAAGTATGGCAACTATAAAAGTGATATCTAAAAGTGGAATTGCTCTACAAAATACAGAATATATATATGTACATACATATATATACATATATCATTTAGCAATTTGATATATATATATATATCAAATTGCTAAATGATTCCCCATAGCCGCTTTGTCAATTTATATTTCTCCCTTTATTATATGATATCACTATATCAAAACTGCACATTTCTGAGTGTTTTGATTTGCCAAGTTGAGGTAACTGTTGAACAGTAACAACTCAATCAAAATATGATCAAAAGATATAAATAGGCATTTTGGTGAAGAAGATATGCATATGTCTCAAACATGTAAAATACTCAACATCATTAGCCACTAAAGAAATGCAACTTAAAAAAACCACAGGAAGGTGCCATTTACACTGTTATTGGCCAGAATAGCTATAAATGATACAGTCAAAAGTGTTAACAGGGATATGGAGAAGTTGGAACATTCATATGCAGTAACAGAATAATGATTCAGTCACTGAAAACAGTTTGACAGTTACTCAAAGGGTTAAACATGCATTACCATAAGACACAGAAATACCTTCATAGTTGCATATTGAGAGGACTGATGATGTATGTCCATGGTAAATTGCTTATAAGTCTCTGTAGCAGCATTTTTATGAGAGCCAAATGTAGAACTAACCTAATGCCTGCAACCTGGTAAGTTGATAGCCACTGTGTTCTGTGGTGGAATTAACAGACGGTGCATTGTGCTCTTTAATGATTTGCTACTAAAATTCTGAAAGGAGACAGGTGAGGGAGATAACTGAGGAACTAGCTGGCGAAGCTTGGCTGTGCCCCATGGACTCAACCGCAGATGACATTTTTAATTTTTGTTTTGAATCCAAATCTTATCTCAGATTGCTTCTTTGTAGTATTGTGTTACAAGAGTTATATGGGGTGTGTGTGTGTGTGTGTGTGTGTGTGTGTGTGTGTGTGTGTGTATGTGTGTGTTGAATTAGGGGCTCAAGCTTGCTAGGGAAGCCCTCTTTACAGGTAAGGAAACTAACTGACAGGGAAGGGGGAAGTGACGCTCAGACCCCAGTCTGACTCCAGAGTCACAGTCTTGGCCACTAAGTCACTGTGGTGTCCTTTCCTCTGTTTTGTTTCCTCTCTAGGGGTCCAGATTTTATGGAAATGAGCTCAAGAAGGAAAAGCAAGTTAACCAGCGGATTGAAAGTATGATGCAACAAAAAGCTCAAATTACCAGCCAGCAACTGAGGAAAGCACAGTTACAGGTATTTATTGAGTTGTTAGGGTGACGTTTGTAGACTAGAAATTAACAAGAGTGCATCATCATCAAGTCCTAACTGCAAACAAAGGGAGATGGACGTGTTTATTATATTCTAGGTATACATATTCAGCAGGCACACATACTTTGCTAAGCATTGCTCTACACCTTTCCCTGTGTAGAAGGGTAAACGCTGTCTTAATTAGCTTGCCTGGCTTCAAAGGACATATAGTTAGCAGAATTAGGATTTGACCCATAGTTTATGTTGTATTATATGTGTACTTTGCGAACCAGAGGGAGGGCTGACTCTTTAAATTAGAATAACCATGTTTTAGTAAAATAAAAACTTATTGCAAGTTAAATATCAAATGTACACAAATTTTTTGAGTGAAACAATATTTCTAAAATCCTAGAGGTTTTTGTGTTCTTCAGAATTTAGGGAGAATGAATAATTCAAAGTTTCTCTCAGCTACTGAAAGTTATTTCCCTAGAAAAGTTTGGAAAGAACCAAGGTTCAGGGAACCCTGTGGAAGACTGACAGCTCCAGGCGGTCATGTTTCTACTGATCTATAAAGTTTTATGGACAAATGAATATTTTTTATTAAAATCTAGCTGGATGCTTGCAAAGCACTCAACATAGTGAAGCACTCTATACAAATAAGGAAATTGACACAGGAAGGTGACACAATTTTCAGATTACCTAAAGCTGAGCATGGTAATAAAACTGTAGTATTAATGTGACATGCTACAAAATCTTTATCTTATGATGGAGTTCAGAGATTATGAGTTTTCTTTACTAAGCCATATTGTTTCTTCATAAACGCTTTTCCAGAATATTGTTTTAATTTGTTTTTTTTTCATTGCTGTTGTTGGTATAGTTATTTTCATCAGAAATTGTATTAATTTGCATTTTCAGTAAGTATTACATCCTTCAAATGCTTATTTAAAACTATATTTCATCAATTTTGTGACTTTTTTCAGTTTTGCTCTGTGCATAATCTCTTCCAACAGATTTCATGGTTGTTTTAATTTGCCTTCTAGTATGTCAGAGAAGAAAGTTCCCTCACACAGCACTCACCCTCTCATTGCAGAAATATGTTTTTATGCTGTTTGTTATGATACAGGTGAAGTAGGTGTCACAAGAAAACCAAAGTAATAGTTTCTTTCTTATATAATAAAACTCATCACTTGTTACATTACTTTTCCTGTGGAGACAGGAACAAACATACATTCATCCAAGATAGGCACTGATGAAAGACCAAAGAAACAATCCCATGAAACTCTGGGTGGGTGAACAAGTAAGTTTGTTGGGCTTTCTCATGGGAGAAGGTATGAGGTTACTTATGGGAAGATGAATGACTCCAGAGTAGCTCATCTCTAAACGTCCCAGTTGAGAGCTACATAGATGGAGTCTCCCCTGCAGCTAACCTTCCCCCTCCTGTGTAGTCTGTGTCTCATGACCACATGTATTTGGACAGGATTGTGTGTGGATGAGGAACAGGGTGCACAGGAAGGAGAGAGTGATTGTGATCTCAGATGAGGTCCAGTTACCCTCGCCCCACTCTGCCTAGGAGGGAATGTCAATAGGCTGGATCTTGTGAGGGTCTCTTGCCTGCAGTCATAGTTGCTCTGTTAAGATTTCAGGATAATCCTGGCCAGGCAAGGCTGAGAGTTCCACAACGTCCCAGGGTCTGATTGCCTTAGTAGTTTTAGACAAAGATTTGTCTTAAATCACACGATTTCATCATCTCCTGGTGTTACAATTACTGGTCTGACAAAAGTATTCCATGTTCCATTTCCTGGTGAGAAAGAAATAGTGTGAGTGGGAGGGGTGTGGACTAAAAGCAAATAATGCACTGTTAAACAAGTGAGAAAGAAGTTGTAAGTAGCATTTAAACTCGCATTCTTTTGGCAGCAGCTCTAGTTACAGAGCAAGAGAAGTATAAAATACGCACGCTAGTTGGGTGGCCATCTGCCCAGCCTTTCAAGCAGAAAAAGTGAGAATAAGTTTGGAGGTTCAACTAGCAGTCTAATGTTGTCCCCTTCCATGGTTCTAGAGTTTATCTATTTCTCTTCATTTGTGAGGTCTTATATATTAAGGATGTTTTTTGTTTACTATATGTTCTAGTTGTGTTTCCAACTTATCTTTTAAGTTTTTAGTTTTGATCACATATTTTTGAAGCTTATATAGTCAAATCCAATTTTTTTTGTTTTGTTTTTGTTTTTTTTTTTTTTTTTTTTTTTGGTAAGACTTATTTTTTAGAGGTGTTTTAGGTTCATAGCAAAACTGAGCAGAAAATAAAGATTCCCCTACTCCACACAGGCTAACCTCTAGTCAGGCACTGTTACCTATGTTCTTTTGACATAATCATTATCATACAAAAACCAATAGGTATAGGCAACAGTGTATATTCACCATTCCAGTATCATATAGGGTATGAGTTATTGCCCTAAACATCCTTTGTGAGCAATTTCTTATCCTTCCCTCCCTGCTAATCCCTGGCAAGTACTGATCTTTTCTCTCAGTCCTAAGTTCTGCCAATGCCAGACAGCCATGAAATTGTATTACCTTTTCAGATCGTCTTCTTTCACTTAATAATAGGCACCTAGATTACGTTAAGTCTGTTCACGGCTTGCTAGCTCATTGCTTTCATGTGCTGAATATTATTCTTCCTCTGGATGTATAACAATTTATCCATTTACCTACTGAAGCCTTCCAAGTTGTGGCAACTATAAATAAACTGCTATAGATACCCATGCTTCAGTTTATGTGTGGACTAAGTTTTCAACTCCTCTTAGAAAATGCAAAGGAATATAATTTGCTAGGCCATATGGTTTAAAAAAAAAAAAGTTTTTATAAGAAACTGCCAAACTTGTCTTCCAAAATGACCATCCCATTTGGCATCTTCATGGTAATGGACTATTCTAGCCAGTCATTGGAGCTGTCAGTGTTCTCAATTTGGGCCATCCTGAGATGTTCAGGATAATGGCATTGTATCATTTTACTCACTTACTCATCGGCATAGACCTGGGAACCTCTTTTCATATGTTTATTTGCTGTGTATAAATCTTTGGCGAGGTGTCTGTTCAGGCCTTATGCTTGGTTTTTCATCAAATTTTCTAATTAAATTTGGAGAATCCTTTGTATATTTTGGGAATCAGTCACATATCAGCTCTGATCTGTCAAATGTTTTCTTCCAGTTTAACTTAACCTTTTGACTCTTGGTATCGTCTTTCACTGAGCAGAAATATAAAATGTGTTTCAGTTAAAGTGTGAAGGATTTGTTTTGCAAGTTTAAAAAACTGTCTTCTGTCCAAAGCAATGCTGTCTTTAAATTGAGCTTATTTCTTAAGCAATTTGCTTTCTGGACTTGGTAAGTTTTATTGATCTGCAATCTACAAATATCTACAGATACAAAAGAACATGGCTGGTGCATTGTAACAACTTTGGAGTTTCGTACTAATTTTTTTTTTCAGTTTAACATGAAGTTAAAACCTGAAGGAATAGAAAATGCATTCCACTGCACATTAGAACGTCAGGTTTTGTTCCAGTCTTAGATGACTGTTTGATGGTGCCTCTCTGGCATCTTTCAGAACAGGAATGGCAGGAAATGTGTTTTTTGTTGATTGTTGAATTGTTTCATTTGCTGAGCTTCCTCTAAAAGAAGCTGTGTACACGGGAGGAGGCTGAGGAAGTCCCAAGGAGTCAAGAAGGTCTCAGAACACAGAGATACTTTCATGGAAAACGTTTCTATTTTAGACTCAAATTTTCCACATGCTAGATTTTATTATGTGTGATATGATAGTGTAAATTCCTGTAGGTCAGACTGAGGTAGTTTGCAGGCATAAGCCGGGCTATTCATTTTGAACCTCTGTGAATATTCTCTACTGTACTTTATCCTCATCAGATGTCTTGAAAGCACAGTCATTGAAATTGTCGCCTTACAAAATGTCTTCTGATGAGCTCCTAAATTGGATAGATAGGCATCCATGTTATGTTAAGTGGAAGCCACATAGCACCTATTAGGTGCATTTCAACAAGTCCCTTCACTAACTTGGGTTAACGCAGTAGTGTTTATGGAAATACTAAGTCAAGAAAATAAAAGCATTATTTCAAATATTTCCCTAAATGTAGTAGAAATTGAGATTTTGAAAAAGAAATTGCATTAGTATACAGTATGGGTATAAACTGTATGACTAGAGTTGATCTGGACTTTTTCAATGTTAAAAACTGTTCAAAGTCTGTGTTAGCCAGGGATGGTGCACACCTCTCAGCCCAACTCTTGGGAGGCAAAGGCAGGCAGGTCTCTGTGAGTTCGAGGCCAGCCTGGTCTACAGAGTTCCAGGACAACCAGGATTACACAGAGGGTCTCAAAAAAAATTTAAAAAACAAATACAAAACAAACAAACAAAAAACCAGGAACAACAAAAATAAAACAAACTTTGGAGTAACCTGTTTCCACGTGCACTGCTCCCATTTGCCAGCCCCGTGACTTGGGGCAAATTACTTAATCTTAATAAACTTTCATTTTCTCGTCAATAAAAGTTATTACAACTATGATCTCAGAATTGTTTTGACTGTAAATGAGTTTATGTAGGAGACACTTAGCATATGACATGATATACTCGATAACTGTCACTTGTACCTTAAAGTGAGAGGCACCGTCCACAAGCCTTTGCCAGGCCCCTCCCTGAGAACAACGCTTTATATAAGCTTCTCTCCATTCTCCAGACCTCTTGCTATTAGTTGAGTCCCACTTTACAAATAAGGAACGAAGTGACTGGAGGGCTAACTTAACTGCTGTCAAGTAACTAATGAGTGGCAATTGTGAGACCCAAAAGGAAGTCCTTATTTTTAACCCCAGTGACACACGAGTTGTCAGAAGTAACAGAAGGAAGAAGGCAGATGTTACAGCCTCGGGTTAGAGTTTGAAAGCCACTTGGAAGGAAAGGGGATAAATGAAGTCATGAGTGAGGGAAGAAATGTTCAAGAGCTGTGATGCTGAGTGTCTGGGAGCAGTCGAGAGAGCTCAGGCTGGAGGGTGACTAATGAGAGATAGTAAAGGAGAGTGGGATGTATGAGTCACGCTGGGAGGGTTCCTTTTGGCAGCTGCTCGCTTGCATTAAGTACAAGAGAGACTAGATTGCTGAAGAGGCTGTCACAGCATTGATTTATGAGTGTGAGGCGAGTTCTCCCACTTGGTTTGCTTTCTATTTATCTCATGCCTTTCCAGATTATTCCAGTCCAAAATATTTCAGATGCCACTCCCTTATTCTTACTCCATCCATATTCTAGACATATTGTTGTTATTATGGATTAGACTTCAGCTTTTATTAATCTCCATGATCTGCCACCCCCTCAGTCAGGGCCACATGACCTTCTTCAAAATTGAAGTACTAGGAAAAAAAAAAAAAAAAACAATTTGAGAGGTCAGTTTGTCCAGGATAGTGCCTCGCTGTATGAAGCTTTTCCCCAGAATTTTCTGATACTACTTTAGAAAAAACTAGCTTTAACATATTGGCATCAATATATTATTTTTCCTCCCTGCCTCCTTTCCTTTCTTTCTTGAGGGGAAAAATGTTAAGGCAGATAAGATCCTCCTCCTGAAGACACTCACTATGATCAAATACAATAAGGGCCACAGTGAAAGCAAGTACGAGAAGATTAATTCTCTGGCACACAAGAGAAAGAGCCAGCTGACTCTCAAGGGATGTTTGAGTTGACTCTTGGAAGCCTGTGACAGAGCTCAGAGAGGGGTTCAAGACAGAGCCAGCCAGGCACGGAGTCCATCAGTCAGGGCTGGAGATTCAGCAGGAGTAGACCTGAAGACAGAGGTTCAGCCTCTGCTACAGGCAGATGTGACTTGGGGCCTTGTGTCTAAGGGAGGACTTACAGTTTTAATCCCCAGCTAGTGGACAGCTAGTGTGTTCCTCCTGAGGAAGGCCATGAAACAAGTATTCTGTGGAGTGAGGGCAAGACAGAAGACCAGCATGGGGCTGGGAGGGCCACAGTATACCTTTGTGGTCCTCCACATGAGACAGGTTGCTTTCCTTTAAGAGATTGTCAGTGGTACCAGACATTGTTCCAAGTTCCTTATGTGTTGTGCTTGCTTTATTGTGGTTTTCTCTTATGATTTACCTTAATAGCCTAGGCAACTTAATTACAGGTTGCAAAAATTAAAACTGTCACATAGCTGCCCTTTGCATGGTAAGCTGGGAAATCACACATATAGCATTAGTAGAGGCAGCCCATAAAAAGCAAGCCATGGATATGTTTGCTATATAATCCTTTTTTTTTTCCCACTCACTTAGTTTATTTCTATCTATGTTTATTTCTCTGTTTTCTTTTAATCCAATAATTTGTCTTCAAAGAATCCAAGATTTTTAAGGATTATAATTCTGCATTGTTATATTTGACAAGTATATTACAGTTTTATAAAATCTAGTCTTCCTCTTGAGTTTTCAATTGTATAGAATAACAATCTCAGACTTTAACTCTAGTCCTGGCTAGACTTTTGTCAATCTGCCACAAGCTGGAATCAGAGAAGATGCCTCAATAAGATCAAGCTGTAGTCAAGCCTATAAGGCATTTTCTTATTTAATGATTGATGTAGGGGGGCTGTTGTAGGTGGTGCAGCTTCTAAGCTGGTGTCCTGCGTCCTAGAAACAAAGCAGGTTGAGCAAGCCGTAAGCAACCCTTCTCCATGCCCCATGTCAGTGCCTGCCTCCAGGCTCCTGACCTGCAAAGTTCTTTCCCTAAGTACTTTTGGTGATGCTGCAAGTGTGAGCAAAGTAAAACCTTTCCTCCCCAAGATATTTTGCTCATGGTGTTTCATCACAGCAATAGGAACCTTAACCAAGACAGCACTGCAAAAAGAGTTCTACAGGAAAGTCATTTACTGTGTTCTGCATCATATCTGTTTGCATATTATTATGCAGCATTACGTCATGTGCCAGAGATATAATCTTTTATTGTGCATTTTCTTTGTTTCCATCTTAAGGCATTAGCATTTTGAGTCAAATGGGAATTGTTTAATTTACTTAAATAGAAACCTTTCAGTTATAGTAAGTTTCTTCAAATTTGCTCAGCAGTAGCATGATTTGATGCAGGCAACTGAGATAGCTCCTTTATTCGATAAATACTTGTTGAGTTCCTGCCATCTTCCTGGGAGGATAGAAAGACAAGTCACCAGAAAATTATATTCTAGAATAGGCTTTCAGCCTGGCTGACGGCTCAGTGGGTAAAGTACTTGCTGTGTAAGCATAAGGACCTGAGTTTGGGTCCCCAGTGCCCAGGTGTGGCATCTCATGTCTGTAATGCCAGAACTCTGGGGGAAGACTGATGGGATTCCAAGGGCTCACTGGTCAGCCGACCCAGCTAAAACAGCAAGCTCTGGATTCAGTGAGAAACCCTGTTTCAAAATATATGGTGGGAGAGCAACAGAAGAAACCCAAGAAACTCTTGCCCAAACGCACATGTATAGGTGAGCGTTGGCACTCACATACATATTTTAAAACCAAAGGATAAAGGTGGGTTCTCTGTGTGAAAATAAAAGCCATTGATAAACAACAATAAACCTGTGCACCCTTAAATACAAGTAAATATACTCCCAATAGGTAAGTAGGTGGATGGATGGATGGGTAGATGAGTAGATTGGCAGATAGAAAGATAGCTTCTATGATGTATGATTAATGATGTTTTGATATCATATTGTCTAAAAGTGTGTTAACTTTTTAAAAATAAAGGTTGACAGATTGGCGATGGACTTAGAACGGAACCGGAATTTGAACAATACCATAGTTCATGTAGACATGGATGCTTTCTATGCAGCTGTAGAAATGAGAGACAATCCGGAACTGAAGGATAAACCCATTGCTGTGGGATCAATGAGTATGTTGGTAAGTAGGCAAAGAGTAAAACAGAAAGGGAATTTCATAGGCTGTTCAGGTTAGCTTACTGAGCCTTGCCAATTTGCTTATACATGCTCAGTTACTGAATCCATTCGATGTAACTGATTGTACTAATTTTTATTTTCACTTGAGAAAAAAGGAAAACAGAGAGATAATTAATAACTTGACCAAAGTTACAAACTCAATAAAATAGCACAGGAGTAGCCTTGTAGCCTTCCACTGCAAAGTAACTTTTTGCAAAAGGGTTCTAGTAGAGTTGAAAAAGAAAAGGCAAAGGAAATGTTATATGCGGCCAGTGGTTTTGAAACTAACTTGCAGAACAAGTCTAGCCTGTCATCACTTTTTTGTAAAGAAACTTTATTAGGGCAAAGAAGTTATGGCCACCTATTTATTACTGTCACACTAGAAGAGCACAATTGAATACAATTGAATAGTCACTAAGAAAACACATCTGCAAAACCTAAAGTGGTTATGCACTCTCCGAACTTTCACAGAAAAGGTATGCCAACCCCTATTCTAGAATCACATAGTTAACTAATATACCTAGAGTGCAAATTATTTCCCGTAACTTGGAATCATTTGTTTTTATGATTACTAAGTTGACTTTTTTTTTTCTGTCTTAAATCAAGGTAAAGGTAGCAGGAGCTATGCCTGTGGCAGAAAACATAATAATTAAAAGTAGCAGCCCGTCTACAGACATACCACCCAAATGCACCACGTCTTGTCTAAAAGTAGCAGCTAGAGCAGATAGGAATTTGTATTAGACAAACACTAGTGGAACAAGGAGCGTTCGTTCCTGTTGCTGATGTTAGTTTAGACCAAGCTCAGTAAGGGTGGGTTGGCTCTGTTTTTCTGGGATAAAAGTTAGCATTAACATGGGAAATTCAAGATAGATTCACTCAGGCCTAGCACTTCTACTGTGATGATTAAAATGGCTTCTGCCTCAAACTTCCTTATTTCCATGTGCTGTCTTGTCACTTGCTGTTATAATACACCCTTTTAATATGCTCTAAATACTGTTTAGTGGTTGCAGAGCCATTAAAATCAAAAGTGGAAGTTGCAAGTCCTTAAGACTAAGGCTTCACGACTAATGGCATCATTTCCTTCTAGTTATTTTAGTTTAAGTAAGTCATCTGGCGAATTACTTGGCATGAGGAACTAGACTCTACCTTCTGGTAAGAGTAATGTAGGGGCAGAGGGGATGGTTCAGTGGTTAGGAGTATTGGCTGCTCTTCGAGAGGACCTGGTTTCAATTTCCAGCCCCACATGGCAGCTGTCTGTAACTCCAGTTCCAGGGGATCCGACATCCACACACAGACATATACACAGGCAAAATCACCAGTGCACACAAAATAAAAATAAATACATTTTTAAAAAAAGAGTAATTGTAAAAATATTGTAGCTGAGCTTGGCAGTGGTGGTACATAACTTTAAAATCCCAGTACTCAGGAAGCAAAGACAGGTGGATCTCTTGAGTTTGAGGTCAGCCTGTTCCACAGAACAAGTTCAAGGACAGCCAGGGCTACACAGAAAAACCAAGCTTGTTTGGAAAAACAATCCAACAAACCAGACAGACAGACAGACAGACAGCAGCTGCTATTTACAATGTACTACAAAACAAAAGTATGAGGAACTCAGGCCTCGAAAAACTTCTTCAATAGATCTAGCTTTCTTGTTAGTTTTGTAGGATTTATTTAAAATTAATAAATTGTTGTTTTATGCATATGAATGTTTTGCCTGCATGTATGTCTACACAACTAAATGCACCTGGTGCCTACAGAGGGTGAAAGAGAGCATTGGATCCCCTGGATTTGGAGTAACATGGTTGATAATGGTGTGGGTCCTGGGAATTGAACCCAGCTTCCTGCAAGAGCAGCCAGTGCTTACTCTTAAGTACTGAGCCATTTCTGGCCCGGAGATTTACTGATTGTACTTTAAAGGATTGCTTTGCCTTTACAGTACTATCAGCACTTTCTCTTGTAGAGCGCTGAGCAAGGAATAGGATAGTTGGGAGTACTATCAAGATTTTTTTTCTAAAATATCTTTTCAAAACGATTAAAGGAAATCTGATTTTTTTTTCCTGAAATAATTTTCTCATTTGATACATCTGGCTTGCATTTCTCTGAGCACTCACTTAGATTCCAAATAAAGGTTCCATTCATTATTAAACTTGGCTATAAATGATATTATGGTTTTCTACTTTGACTAGATCCACTGGCAAATGTGATCATGAACAGATTTTATTAAATATTATCATTTTTTCATTCTCATACTTTTTAGTCTCATTCCCTAGCCAAAATGTTTTTGCCAAAAACTTCAGACTTTAAAAAATGAAGCTCAAATTTGAAGCACTTTATTTTAGAGGTATACAGGCCTTTGATTTTTTTTTGTTCTAGATGAAAAATTTCCAGATAAAGCAAATTCTTGATGCATGCTACTACTTTAGCATCTCTAATCCCAGACATGAAATATGTCAATAAAATTTTTGGATTTGGGGCCTTCACCTGCATGCACAATGATATATATACCTGAACACATCCACAAAAAGATTTTGGATTCTGGAAGATTTGGGATTTCAGACTTCTCATCTATGTAAATATTCCCATATCTGAAAACTCAAATCCCAAGTATTTTGGACAAGATCCTTTTCCTACATTCTGTTTATAAATATACTTTACATATGAATATACTAATACCTTCTATACTGTTACTTTTGTGTAACATGTTAGAAATGTTTTATTGCTTTGTAACTATTCTATATTGTTTACTATTAGTTTCATAGAGCATCCACTATCATCCAGACTTAGATATATATGATATTACAGAATACCTTAGAGCCATTGACATTTAATTACTGGAAATATTTTTTAAAATTATTTAAAGCCATTTGTTGTGTAGAACAGGTTGGCCTTGAACTTCAAACTAGTAGTTCTCCTGCCTTAGTCTTCTCATGCCTGGAATTACAGATATCCACCACCCCACCTATTCTGAAAAATATTTTCATTAGTTCAAGCCTACTTATTAGCTGGTACTTTGTTATAAATTTAGAAATAACCATGAGACAGGGTCATGGTTTTTGAAGAAAGTCAAGATGTGGTCCAAGACAGTGGCTTATAAAAGAAATGCCCTTGAATTGAAAATGCACATCAGTAATGTGTTTCTTATGAATGCGCCGATCAATATGTCCATTTAGGGTTGCTTATTTCTCTATGCGGTCCACTTTCTTACAGTCTACTTCAAATTACCATGCAAGGAGGTTCGGTGTCCGTGCAGCCATGCCAGGATTTATTGCTAAGAGACTCTGCCCACAACTTATTATAGTGCCCCCAAACTTTGACAAATATAGAGCTGTGAGTAAGGAGGTAAGTGAATGTCTCACCCCAAACCCTTTTACTGGCTCTTTGTCAGACTCAACTCAACATGCCTTACTTAACGGTCAAGATTTGGTCTCCGCTATGGTGACTAGTGAGCTGTTAATAATATCCAGGTAATATCTGTTACCCAACCCTTCCGTGTATTTTTCATCTACTCTCAATTTCTCAATTCTCTACAGCTTCTTAGAGCTTTGTAAAGCCTTAATAATTATAGCATGAAGTTGGTTTTCAATATTTTTCTTGATATATAAAATAATGTTTAGGACAACCTAATATTCCTGGTTTATAGAACCTACTCATTAATTTTGATCTATGCTAAATTAAATTTATATAATTAATCTGCTGTTTGTTTTGTTCCAGGCTGGCCTGAAAGTCACTATGGAGCTCAGGCTGGCCTAGGTCTGTACTTTTAAGCAGAAACAGAATTGACTTACTGTGGCTAGTTACTTTGCTTGCTTCATAATCTTATAGAGCTGGTTGAGCATATTTTGCCCAAGAAACTTTAAAAAGAGGGGAGATTCTCTCTTGCTTTGAAAAGAATGATTTATATACATATTAAAATTCTGAACTGTCCTAGGTTAAAAAAAAAAAAAAAAAAGTATCATTTCTTTGATTTTCATTAAGAGTGATCTATCACCGGGTGATGGTAGTGCACGCCTTTAATCCCAGCACTCTGGAGGCAGAGGCAGGTGGATCTCTATGAGTTCAAGGCCAGCATGGTCTACAGAGCTAGTTCCAGGACAGGCTCCAAAACAGTATAGAGAAATCCTGTCTCACAAAATAAAAACAAAACAAAAAAAAAAAAAGAGTGATCTATCACACAATGTGAGGACTTAGTTCCTTGATTAAAATCTAGAGTGCTACATGTACATCACTTTTACACTGCCATTAAAAAATAAAGTATGTCATAGAGTACTGTGTGAGCATGACTTGTAATTCCTGCACTGTGAAGCCAGGAGCATCAGGAGTTCAAGGCCAACCTCGACCACTCAGTTATTTTGCAGCCAGCCTGAGCTATATGAGACCTAGCTCAAAAAAGAGAAGAAGGAGAAAGCAACTGTCTAAATATAAATATGAAAACTATGCCATACTCCTTTTTAAAAGTTGTATTTTTTGTTAGTTTATAATTACATGTGTGCATTTGTGCCTGTGTGTGGTAGGCACATATGTGCAAATACCTATGGAGACAGTAGATTTCCTGGAGCTAGATCTAGAGGTAGTTGTGAGACACCTGACATGGGTTCTGGTTGTCAAACTCTGGTCCTCTGGAAGAGCAGTATGTGCTCCTAATTGCTGAGCTATATCTCTGGCCCTGGCACAATACTTAACTGTCATTTAGATATTCAAGTGAACTTTAAATTCCCTTATTTGTATTCTACCTCATTTTCCCTAGAAATAATACTGCCATATTAAAACAGTTGTATTCATTCGAAAACAATCTATTAAATCAACTGCTTTGTGATTACTTTTGAAAAAGTGGTAGGCAAAGAGAACATACCTTCAATAATTTTTTTCTGTATTCCTAGTTAAAAATAAGAAATAGCACCATAAGTACAGGCTTTGATAATTAAAAAATATCATGAAGACTTCGTAAGAAAGATCTTGAATCGTACTCAGTAAAACTTCTGACAGTATAGCATGAGAACTAAATTATTTTTTAATTATCTATCACCTGGTTATTTACACAAGTTGGAAAAATCTTCAAATTTGAGCAACGTCTCCCTAGTGAATATAGCAAATAAGTTTTACATGTAAATGCATTGTCAGTGCATTAATGTTTCTGGCCCGGCTAGTGAGTTTAAGGAGCATCCAATTCTGTTTTGTCCAGATAGTAGAATAACTTTACCGTTCTTAGATCTGAGTGCTTGGTGTTTACGGGAACAGTCTATTTTCATTGCTGTGGCAGTATCCTATTGGAAGGAAGTGAGAAGTAAGTACCTAGCCATGCCTCCAGGGAGCACTTCTCATTCAGAGTCTTAGTGGGCTGCCAGGCACAGGCTTGCAAAGTTTTCACTAGAAAGATGCCATCGCATCTGTTACAGAATGCTTTCTTCTACAAGAACAAAGCTATTTAAAGCACTCTGAGTAAAAGTATGGCAAGTTTTCAATCACCACTTTCTAAAATTCCCCTCATATGCTCATGTTAAGAATGAGCAGTTTCTTTTTTATAAAACAAAAGGTTTTCTAATGATATGAAACAAAGCTTTTAAATGTTAGATGAATATAACAATTCAGCAAAGATATTTTCTATTAGATAGGCTATGCTGACAGTCATTCCCTCTTATTTCAGCTAATTCTTTGGTAGTTAAAAAGAAAAAAAGATTCCATGGTTTCGTGTAGTAAAGCTAGCCCATATAAAAGGCGTTGCTGAATTACATTAACTATGTTTCTAATCTTTGTGTATTTCATTCATGTCATAAAGAAACTTCAACTTTTCATCTTTAGCTTAATACAAGCATGCAGTTATTCTATAGATGTATCATCTTTTCTAGTCCAGATTCCTGTGAATAGTAGAGCTTTATTTTATACGAGTATTGTTCATGGTATAATTAATGGAAATATACTGCTCTCTGACACATGCTGGTACTTTACATTCCTTTTTTAAATGAATAAAAATCTTTACAGAGATGAGAGAGAATACTATTATTCCCACTATTCCTTTAACTAGCTACATTAAACCTTGATCACTTTTCTTTTCCTGTTCCTACCAGAATATTGTATGAGATTTACTTGACTTGCTTAGTGTTTCTAGATATAGGATGCTGGATTCAGATTGCATCAGATGAAGCTATTTCATGGTCTTCTGCCTTCATGATCTATTTTAGTACAAAGGGGAATTTGACAAATATCCATTGGTAATAAATTATTTATTCTTTGAATCCGTGAGCTATTGATTGCAGGATCATTACTATAGTTGCAAAGTAAGAATATTAGTGCTTTTTATCAGATACATAAGACAGGAGGTTTTGCTGTGGTAGCAAAATTTAAACTTTTGTTGTTGTTCTTTTTGAAGGTTAAGGAGATTCTTGCTGAATATGATCCCAATTTTATGGCTGTGAGTCTGGATGAAGCCTACTTGAATATAACACAGCACTTAGAGGAAAGGCAAAGTTGGCCTGAGGACAAAAGAAGATATTTCAGCAAAACCGGAAACCCTATAAAAATTGGTAAGCAATTTATTAGAGCTACCAACCAAATACTGACACAAAGCAGCTCTTTAAATCAACCCAATTAATTCATTTGTGTATATAGGGTAGGATTAGATTTGTCTTTGTAAAATGAAAAATCAGAAACCAGTGGGGTTTTTTTTTTTTTTTTAAGTATGTACAGCCTCTTAAAATCAGATGAGAATGCTGACTCTCCAGGCTTTAAGGTAGTCGCAGAGCAATTATTTTTGTAATATCAAAGGGCTTAGATTACATTGAAGGGGAGGAAGTTCCTGTTGAAAGTGACTTTGTTGTTACTGTTGATAGAAATCAGGTTTTTAAAAAAGTTTAGCCCCAAACATATTAAAACCTTTGATGATTTTACTTTTCTTTGTTTCTCAGATCTTCTATAATCTAGTTCTAATACAATAACGTGACTGTTTCCCACTCTGTGAAAATTTATGGCCTCCCTCTCCCTTTTTCACCACAGACCTAACTGTATGTAACTCATAGGGGATGGAGGCAGCAGTGAACCTCAGTGTCTGCTCTACCACTTTAAGGTGGAGACCTTATTTATTTCTTTCTTTTATCCTTATTTTTATTTTCTGAGTCAAGGTCTCTTTCTGAACCCAGAGCTGACTGATTTTCTGGTTAGCTCTGGGGATTTGTTGTTGTCATTACCTGTACCGTCACCCCTGACCTCTGAGTCCGGTGTCCGCCCATCCTAACTTTTATGCAGATGTTGTAGATCCAAATGCAGGTCTTCAAGCTTGCTTGGCAAGTGCTTTGTCCACTAAAGCATTGCCCAGACCTCCATAACTCCTCTGTACAATTAAAGGTTTCACGGCTCCACACATCTTTCAAGCAGCACTTTCTTTTTTTGTTTATCCAGAGCATTCAGAAGTTACACATTCATTCTGCTTCCAGTCTTTGCCAAAAGTGCTGTTTTTTTCAAGGGTTTGACCTGAACAAAATTTACCCATGAACCAAGTGTATCCATGAACCAAGTTTACCCAGCTGAAAGGTGACCTAAAGGAATTCACTCACAATTTACAGCCACATTTCATGAGTAACTTATTCATAACATCCAAGGGGCTGGGCAGTGTGGGGAAACAGTAATGTTCCTTTACAATGGCATCGATTTTTTTTTTATTCTCCTCTCCCCCCCCCCCCCGTTGTTGTTGTTTTTGAGGTTTGTTTGGTTGGTTTTTGTAGTTACTGTTGTTTTGTGGGTTTGTTGTTATTCTTTTGAAACAGGGTTCTTCTATATCGCCCTGAGCCCTGCCTATCCTAGAACTCACTCTGTAGACCAGACTGGCTTGGAACTCACAGAGATCCTCCTGTCCCTGCTTCCCCAGTGCTGGGATTAAAGGTGTATGATGCCTTGCCCTGGCAGCATCAAATTCTAAGCCTCCCTAGACTGTGTATTTGCAGGGTGTGGGAAGAGTGGCAAGTGATTGATGGAGCTTTCTTTAAAGTCAAACATTTTTCTGTTTGCCTTCTATGAAAGATTCTTTGTCTCTAGAAATATGTGAACTATTGTCTTTATTTGCAAATAAAATAATAACCATTGTTTTTATGTTTGCTTTGTCATACAAATCTAGCTGGCAAGTGTCAGGCTGTGTAAGAAACCCGAACACTGCATGCTTGGGTGCCTACCATCCAGATGAGTGCTCTAATCTAGCTTTATGCTCTCAGCGCTTCAGTTACGGAGATGGTGAAGGGATTTCATTCAGGAGGAGGAAACCACTTACGTAGTTAGTTATGCAGCCAGGCCATAAGGAAGTTAAACACAGCTGGGGTGAGGAAGATGCCTGTGTCACTCTGTAGCCGCCCTGACAGTGTTCCAGAGGCAGCACGCTTTGTTTCCTGGAGTAGAAGATGCCAGTGTGAGTCACTGCACAGAGGCTGCTGTGAGTTCACCGTGAGGATACCTGTTGCTGGATTTTCCTTGTCCTGCCTGGTCCTGCAGCCCTTCTCAGCTCCAAATAAACACACAGAGACATAATAATTATAAAACTGTTGGTCAGTGTCTAGGGCTTCTTATTGGCTAGCTCTGTCTTAAATTATCAACCCATTCTATCAATCTATGTATTGCCACGAGGCTGTGGCTTACCCAGTAATGCCCTGGCATGTTGTTCAGCAGCATGATGACTCTCAGGCTCTCTCTGCCTACCTTTCCCAGAATTCTCCTTGTCTCCTAATCCAACCTATCTTTCTGACTCATTAGCCAATAAGAGAAACATATATACAGAAGGGCAACCCCCATCAGACACCAGTGTGAATCACTGCAGAGAGGGCTTGAGACCAGGATTGGGACATACCTGGCCTGTATTTTGTCTACAGCTCTTTACTGTAACTTCTATTCAGCAATTGGAAGAAAGGGCTTCTGGGTGACCCTCATTCAGCTGCTCCATCCTCTTGTTCCTCTCCAACTTGCTCTAAAAAGGAAAATGGCCTGAAGCACAGATGTAGTAAAAATAGGTTGTGTGGCATGTGTGGCCTGCAAATTAAATTTGGGAAACTTCTATCTATAAATTAATTCATATGCTGTAATTAAAGTTTGAAACTAATCAAGTGTCTGTTACATTATTTACATATCTTTAGATATTTTCTAAAGACCAACTTCATTTTTTAAGTGCCTCCAACTATGTCTTGAAATTTAATTTAATTAAGCTCAGTATGTTTCCATTCATATAATCCTAGCAATCTGAAGACTGAGGCAATAAAATTAGAAGTTCAAGACCAGCCTGGGCAGGGTATGTAGTTAATTTAAGACTAAGCTGTGCTTTAAAAAAGAAGAAGAATTTAATTGTTGCTTTTTCATTTACCTTAGTTTGGTTGTAATTACTCATTGTTGAATGCTTTTTCCTCCTCATTCCTAATTTTAACTTAAGAAGGATCTTTTTCTCCTTAGAGAAGAATACAGTGAAAAACAGTTCTTTCATAAAGAAAAAGTAATGGACTTCTGAAGTTAAACTGTTCCTTTAAAATATTCACTAAAGAAATAGATAATGTTACTTTAAGGGAAGCCTGACAGCATTTTCCTTATTAAATTGTTACAAAGATAAACGATAGCTTCCTTACCTTGGTTCTTAGAAACAAAATTGAATTTGGTTTGCTTTCAGCAGTGTAGGATAGAAGTGGGCACCGATGCCTGTAATCCCACTCTTGAAGACTTGGGCACCAACCATCAGGAGCTCAAGGCTAGTGTGGGCTCCAAGGTCAAGTGAAGCCAGAGTGGGCTCCTAGAATGCTTCAAGCAGACTCTCACAGAGATGTGGTGGGTAGGCAGGAGACAGAGAAAAATAATGGAGGGGAGTAGGAAGGGGGAAGGTGTTGAGAAAAAAGTGACAGAATGGAGAGAAACCTAAGAAGTGCATCCTCCTTAAAATGAAGGTGACTTGCTGTTCCTGTTTGGGATTCAGATAAACCGGGTGAGGAAGCTAACAGACTGAGTGAGGACGAACAGCCCATCTCCCCACTGCTTTTTGAAGACAGTCCTCCTGATTTGCAACCCCACGGAAACCCTTTCCAGCTAAACCCTGAAGAACGAAACAGTCCTCAAACACTCCAAAATTCGGTTGTTTTTGGAACGTCAGCTGAGGAAGTGGTAAAGGAAATTCGCTTCAGAATTGAACAAAAAACAACGCTGACAGCCAGTGCAGGTATTTGAGGGGATATTCACGGCCTCTAGTAGTTATGCCATGCTAATAGTAGTTGTTCCTTGTTGTGAAGTAGATAGTTTAACATTTGATTTGGCTGCTAGCAACTTTTATCTACTAAGGCTAGTTAAACCTACAAGTAAGGTGTAATTAAGCAAAAAGCCTATGGTCCAAGGCAAAAAAAAAAAAAAAAAAAAAAAAAAGAGAAGTCATAAATCTAGAATAGTGATCCTTTAAGTGAAAAATATATTCTAGTGGGATTTGTACAGAATATTTGATTGGCACTTGTCCTAGATTACATTGTAGAGAGAACCTAGAATACATGAAGGTTGGTGAACTCCCCCACACTCCCACCAAGAAATAGATCAACATGCAGCATAGCAACTTACGAGCATCTGGTAAGAAAGCAAAGCCAACAAAGCCCCACTGCTTAACCCATGTCACTGACTCCTAAGAGCATCACAGGGTCTTAGCCTAGGAACCAATGATGGTTACAGCCACCTCTCACAATGCCCGGTTATACATAAACTCTCACATTATAAAAAAAAAAAAAAAAAGAATTACCTTGTAAAGTCGTGTGTGTTGTGATTAGGGTAATGTTTTCTATTTCACAGGATAAGCATACATAATCAGCTTTAGGAAAATATCTATAAAAAACTGAATAAACTATTAACAAATATATTTAGATAAACCTACTATAAATTGTCTTAAGACTCCTAGAGATTATAAATCATAGTGTGTGGTGGTTTGCTTTGTGGGTAACAATAAAAGTTAAAAGTTTTTATTATTGTTTTTAATATAGTACAAGTCAGAATATTTATATTCTGAATGTGAGAATTTACATTCATAAAAACTTTCCAGAAAGTAAGCATCTGTCATGAACTATATTCTGGGTCTTTTCTGAGAAATAAATAAGGGTTCACTGCAAAACAACCCTGTATTCCCAGTACAGTTATAAGTAAAGGACTGACACTTAATATTACTCAGTTCAAAAGTTACACTTGGATTTTAAAATATTGAAACTAAAATTTTTCCTGCTGCTATAGCTAATATATTCCCTTTCCCTAAAACCACGGAAAGCCCTGAGGAGATTGTCAGCATCCAAATGTCATTTTAAAAGTAGAATTAAGTGTCATTTCAGATTATTTGCATTTAACTTTCATTTTCTTATCACATAGCAACTTCTTTGAATGATTGCGTGCTCTTCTTTTGAAGGTATTGCCCCCAATACAATGTTAGCAAAAGTGTGCAGTGATAAGAATAAGCCAAACGGACAATACCAGATTCCCCCCAGCAGGAAAGCAGTGATGGACTTCATCAAGGACTTGCCTATTAGAAAGGTAAGATTTTATATGAAATTATCATTTGTGCATATACTCTGAATATGCAGAGAGGTGCCAGATAGATAGTAACTATTTTTTGCTAAATAGTTATAAAATAATGGATGGCAGGTGAGAACTTTGCTGGGCGGCTGAATGTGCACTTAGAACCTTGAAAGGCATGTGTAAGGAGCTTATCTGCAGGAGAGTTTAAATAAGATGCAGTAGACCTTTCATGCCTACCTACCATGGACAGAGGATGTAAGAGGAGACTTGGAGGAGTGCTTTCAACTGTAATTTCTTGTTATTGTAGTTCTCCAGTCCAGGCAGCTGCTAGATGAATAGGTGTGACACTCCAAAGGGATTGAGAATTTTGTTTTTGACAAAATTAGATCAAAGTACTTCACCAACTCTAAAATGATAAAAAAATTTCCCTACAAGGATGCAGAAACTGCATTTTATTATTTATAGCTTCTGGATTTCTGTGCTTCATGTCCCATTTATTTATTTATTTATTTATTTATTTATTTATTTTCTAACAATTGAACCCAATACTATATGACATTCTAGAGCCTGCTCGAAATAATGGGTGTGATTGAATTTAAATGAGGTATCGCTCAATGTTCAAGGAAAAGGCTGTAGCCAAGGTCACAATGTTAGGGATTCATGGATGCTATATACATACAGAACTTTTTACTAAGGTGTGATTAAGCATTCCATTTCTTAAACTTCTAGGTTTAAATAATAGGTGAGTTCAAATATTGGTGAGATTTTTAAGTCTCATTTTAAAGTATGTAATTATAAAATAATTTTTAAAATCCTTAGTTTAAAAAAAAGTAAAGAAGGCATAGAGGACAAAAATCTAGAATCTATAAATAATGAAATATGTTGTTTCTGAAACCTTGTGTGAAATGTTTATTGTTTTAAAGACAGTGAAGTGCTTTGGTTTAATTTGTCAAAAACAAAATTCTAAATTCCTTTAGTATATTAAAGAATCATAAATATCTTACGAAAAAGTTTCATTTGTTTGCTCTATCATTTCTAAAATTTGTATGACCACAGAACTCTTTTTAAGTGCCTAAAAATTCTATTGAATTAAACTATGTGACCAAAAAAATAATAACAATTCTCTTGCATGACATGTAAAAGTAATATTATTCATACCTTTGGTTAGCAACAGAAGATTCTAATCTTCAACTGGGAATGTCACTCATTGTCAGACTGTTTATTTAGCATGTTCGAGGCTCTGTTCAAGCTCAACACCAACAACATTCTCCTTCACACACACCTACACACACGCACAACTGTAATCTCAGTTTAAAACCCTAAATTATAAATATTGGTTCATCTGGCTATACCACCCTCAACACACTCAATTTCAGCTAAATATGGCTTCTTTTCTAGGTTTCTGGAATAGGCAAAGTTACAGAGAAAATGTTAATGGCTCTTGGAATTGTTACTTGCATGGAACTCTACCAACAGAGAGCATTGCTTTCTCTCCTTTTCTCTGAAACATCTTGGCATTATTTCCTTCACATCGCCCTGGGTCTAGGTTCAACAAATCTGGCAAGGTATTTACTATAATATAGTTATTCTGATTTTTATAATTTTCATTATCATTTATCAGTGTCAGCTCGAACCTTTGCGATGAAGGCTATTTCGAAACATTTTTAAATGCATTTTGACTGATTTAACTTAGGCTCTGTCTTGCTTAAAGCTATCAGTTTTGCTATGGGGGAAAAAGAGGGATAATGACTCACTTTTAGGTGTTCTCTTCAGTGGTGAAGAATGTGGAAGAGAGGAATGGTGGTTAGGAATGGTGATTGCTTCCCCCCCTGCCTATCTTGTTCTGTTTTCAGATTGCAACAGGAAGCTTGGTGGTCAGGTTGTTGGAAAAAGAAAGGTGGCTTCTTCCCACAGCTTATTCTTTAATCAAGAGTTCCAGATGTGTTAATGAATAGAGTTCTTATCTCCCGTTGAACTCTGTTGTAAGCACTAGAGACAATACCAGTGGGCTGGACAAAGTTCTGCCTTCATGGACTTTACACACTAGTATAAGAGAAAATAAGCAAAGGAACAATGAAGGAAGTAAGGCAGAGTGAGGGCATAGTGACTTCAGAGGTTAGTATAGAGTTGACCATTGTTCAGAGGTGAAGGCTGGCAGAAACTGACCATGCAAAGCCCTAGGAGAAGGTAGGACACCTTAATAAAAGTCCTGTGCTTTCTTCTGCCAGCTTTTCATCTGAGCTTTGAACTGTTCTGGAGAGATGAAGAGAAGGGGGAGGAGAGGAGAATGGGGATCTTCAAAGGCAACCCTAGGCACTGTCTTGTTAGCAAACCTTCAAAAGACCTTAAGATGTTGACTTGTCTAGGAGGCGTGCAATGAGACAGGGATACAATACTCCTGCCTAAATGTTGGAAATACTTACACACACATAGACCATCCTTCCTCTCCTATTTTGGAATAGGGTCTCACTTAAGTTAGCCAGGTGACTTTGAACTTACCTTATAGCCCAGGCTGGCCTTGAACCTGTGGTCCTCTAGCATCTGCTTCCCAAATAGCTGAGATTATTATTGCAGGATTGTATCATAGGGCCAGCCTTTTTTTTTTTTTTTTTTTTCTTGATTGGTTTTGTTTTGCCTGGTATTTTGTTTTTTGTTTGTTTGTTTTGTTTTGTTTTCCAGTGTTGAGAATCAAACCTAAGAACTTGGTCATGCGTGACAAGCTCTGTATGACTGAGCTACCTTCACAAGCCCTGTGTGTATTTTATATTTTTTTACATCCACTGGATGTAAACTTCTTAAGACAAGCACTTTGTATATCTTATTCATTATTCTCTATATTCTTTGGCAACTCTTAGGCATATTACCTCCATTAAGTATTTGGAAAATGAATAAGACAGGTGTACTTCAATTCTTTAGTTCAGTTGTCCCATCGGAGTAGCTAGAGTTCAGTCAAAGTAGGTGGTTTGGATGCTCAGTCATCATCCTATACCAAATTCTGACTGAGACATGAATAATGAATGGCGTAGAGGGGAGGAGTTGGTGTACTAGCCCCGAAATGAAACAGCATTGCATTTTGTGAAATGTACATGGATGCTCAGGCCAGGAACTGTTTGCTGCTTCCCCCTGTTGATTTTCATAAGTTTAGTATTCAGACTTTTAATAGATACCTGTTTCCAAGTATTTTTTTTCAACCATAGATATATAGATATAGGCATGATCCTTGACACATAAAATCAAAGTGTCTTATCTAGATATGTCTTAGCGGCAGTTTCATTTTTAGATTGAAAAGAAAGCCTCACTGGTTTTTATAAGCTACAATTTTTTTAAACCAAGTATTTAGAGAGGATGTTAGGGGGCTGTGGAGATGGCTCAGCAGTTAAAAGCTCTGGCTGCTGTTCCAGAAGTCCCAGTCTTGATTCCTTGCACCCTTGTGGCTGCTCACAAATGGTGGCTCCATTTTCAGTACTATCTTGTGACCTCTGTGAGCACTGAGCGTACATGGTGCACAGACAGACATACCAGCAAAATATGCACATAAAAGTAATCAATTAAAATGAATCCATTAAATTCACTTAATGGTCAAAGGGAACACAATTTTCTTTGAGAAAGAAATAAAGACCTTTTTTTTGTCATTTCAGGGATGGAGAAAGGAAAAGTATGAGCGTTGAAAGGTAATGCTTATTCTTTTATATTAAACTGTTTCCAGTTCATTTTTAGTAAAGCATCACTACAATAAAAAGCCTCGCAGTTTGGGCCGCTTATCTCCTTGAAGTAAACACCTAAGCTCGGTGCAGTGTCTGTGGCCGCTGTATTAGCAGAACAACAACATGGTTGGCATTTACATTCCTTGATACAGATGTTACTCCTATTCAGGGAAAACTAAGCATTTTAGGATCTCTAATCTTCTGTATAAGAGCAATCAAATGTTGACCTGAGAATCATAAAATATTATAGTGAGAGTTTTAAGAACTTCAGATATTAGCCAAAGGAGCAGAGGTTTCAAGATATATGTTGAACATTTCTGATACGAATTTCTGTAATGGTCCAAATCTAAGACTTCCTGAGTGCCAGATGCTATTACCTCTTGTTTTATGTGACGGGTTGCAGTCAAAACACAGAGTATAAGGTATATATGAAACAAATGAATTTTGTTTTCAAACCTGGGTCCTATCTGAGGACAGGTCACTGTACACAGACAGATATTACAAAATAAAAAAATAAATAAATAAAAGCAACTCAAATCCAAATCTTCCTTCTTAACATAAGTGTTTCAGATAAAGAATTAAGCCTGAAGAAATACTGGTAAGGGAGAATTTAGAGATTGTCTAGTTTTGTGGGGCTTAGAATCTTGTTTGGAACCACATGAAATCTTAATGGAGTTTTGTTTAGGGAAAATGTTTCCGTTTTAAAAGTCCCTCAATTATTTTTTCAAAGCATCAAAACTATTGACACATTTAAGAACCACTAACTGGTTCTTTTCTTTTTGAAAACTCCTTGGATTTTCAAAAATGCATTAGGGTATCATTTTTGTTATGGAACTAGGGGAGGAAGGTCCCAGTTCACAATACAAACACATGTAAAGTGTTAGCCTCTCCGATATGTAAAGAACTCATAATAAGAAAGCACCAATATGCCAGTTAAAAAAATGAACGAAGAACCAAACATTGTGGCATACATGCCTTTAATACTAGCTCTAGAGAGGCAGAGACAGGAAGACCTCTGTGAATTTAAGGGCAGCCTGGTCTATACAGCAAGTTCTAGTCCGACCAGGGTTGCAAAATAAGGTCATAGTCTACAACTAAAAAAAGAGAAAGCATAAATGTGTGGGGGTTTTGCCTATCTGTCTTCCTATCTAAAATGGTTTTGATCATTTATATAGGCTGTAGATATTTTTACTTAGTTATGTGTTAGCTGATGTGAAAACTTTAGTTTGTACTGAAGAAAATACAATGCTGGGCTATTTGAATATACTTTATCATTACCAAATTATTCAGCTGTAGTTTATACTGTGCACCCAAATCCTTCTTGTCTCTCTAGGACATTCAGCGAAATAAGTAACACGGAAGAACAGTACAGCTTATGCCAGGAGCTCTGCACGGAGCTTGCTCATGATCTCCAGAAAGAAGGGCTGAAGGTACTGGGACTGGGTTTTTATGAATGATTTTGGTTTTTAGTGTCTTTCATTGTAGGGTACTACACTAAGTCAAGAGACCACACATTTATGAAAGCGGAATACAAATAGAGTATCCCTATCCCCTATAGTCAGAAACAAAGTGAGTCTGACCTGTGAGTGAGGTGTGTGATGAGATCACGCTGTGAAGGACACCTGTGACACTGGACTGGTTCCAGGGTGATAGGGCAGTTTTGTGTCCTTAACACTCCGTCTGAGTTAGGTGCCAGATCAGACTTGAATGGCAAAGGGAAGGATTGTTCTAGAGCTGTGTCCTCCTATCATAAATCCTCTCCAGTCATCCTGGGAGGCTTTGCTCACAGGGACAGTGACCTAGAACAGGCATAGTGTTTCGGGCTCTAATCCTGGCTGGCACCTTGAGAACAGAACCCTGGAATGCCCTGAACATTCTTCCTTCAGAACACTCCACATTTAGTATTTTCTTAATCCTCTCAAACCAGGGTTGGTTATTAAACGGTGTAATACAAAGTATTTAAAAGTTACTGCAAAAAATTCACATATTTGAGGAACATTTTTACTTCTACTCTTCTCTAGCTTGAGTGTAAAATAGTTCTTTTTGAGAGGTTTATTAAATACGCTTTTAATTTTAGAATCATTTCAGACTTATAGGACTGTTTCCAAAAGAACATAGCTATTTCCATCAATATGTCTCGTCCATTTTCCTCAAATGAGAGGGGGGAAGTTCCTAGATTTTTGTCACACTAGAAAATTGATATTGACACTTGCTGTTAACCGAGCTTCAGACTGCATCTGGATTGCTCCTGTCTTTCTACTAACTCCTCTGCAGGGAACCACATGGGGATTCGTGTCCTGTCCCCTTGTTTGTCTGTGAGTTTGCTAGCCTTTCCCTCTTATTTATAAAATGCAGTCTTGAGAACGATGGGACACATCCCCTGCAGAAATGCCACTGGCTCGCCTGTCCTGTGTTGTAGGGGATAGGTGTTTGGAAAGAATGCCACAGAGGTGAAGTGGTCCTTCCATCATTTCCTGTTACAGTCATCACGGGGTTAAGGGAATGTTTGACAGGATTCTCCAGCCTGAAGTTACTGGTTCTGAAATGAATCAGGAAATGAGTCAGAAAGCTGATCCTGCCTCACGTGGAACAGCTGCCAATTACCTTACTCTCCCCCCCCCCCCAGGAAATACTAAAATATCACCAGTCCTCCCCAACTGGAACCTCATGGCCTTAAGACACTAGCTGTGAAGGTGATGCGTACAGACTTCCAGAGGCACATGCAGGCATGTATTGGCCGTGCATTAAGTGTGAGCTATGCATTCCCCCTGGCTTCCGATACTGAAGAAGCCTTAGGGAGGTGTACAGTAAATGTAAAGGTGATTAGTTAGCTTTGCCCTTCATGGGAAAGTTATTTTCAATTGGTTAAGGATTTTCTACATGGATCTTAATTGTGACTGTTTACATGACCAAGTTTTGTAACTTTTGTAACCTGTAATCAACTTTTTTCTACAAGTTCTGAAACCTGCCCTTGTAACGTGCTACGTGTGTTGTAGGGGAGAACTGTTACTGTTAAGCTGAAGAACGTGGATTTTGAAGTGAAAACTCGCGCGTCTACAGTTCTGTCCACTCTTTCTACTGCAGAAGAAATATTTGCCGTTGCTAAGGAATTGCTAAGAACAGAAGTGAATGCAGCTTCTCCACATCCCCTGAGGTTAAGGTTGATGGGTAGGCCTCTCTTCTCCCTCTTTCTTGTTTTTCTCTTATATGTTTAATACCCCCTCCCTAACAAAAAGAGTCAGCTTAGGAGATCATTTTCCCTCCATTTATTTCTTAAAACTGTTAAAGAACTTACTCTGCTGCTATACATTATAATTCCTAGACTGGATGTTTAGTCAGAGTATGACTTCAATTTTGTCTGGGACCAATGGGAGTTGTTCTCATCCTTCTTTCTGAAGTTCTCGAGGCAAAGTATTTCCAAATTCAAATTTTAACAGACTTGGGAAACAAACCCAGGGCATTTTAATTCTATTCTGTAATACTCTATTGGGGATCTAGTACACCAACGCATGGTGAAACACATGGATATTTCTGTCACCAAACAACAACAAACTTGTTCTTTAGATGATGAGGATACTAGATGACATCATGTCAATTTAGGCTTTGTTTATCACTTTGTTCTACAATTTTCAGAAATTTTGGATTTTAGAATTACAGATCAAGATTATGACTCTGTGAAACCACATTGCCGGTTATCACCTGTTGGAAACAAACTAGAAAGCCGTGCTTCCAAGTGAACTATAAGATTGCTAAGAGTGGATCATTGATCTTACTTTCACACTTGAGAGATGGTGTACAATGAAACCACTAAATGAAGTATGTTAAAAAGAACCAAATAGCTGGGCAGTGGTGGCACACGCCTTTAATCCCAGCACTCTGGAGGCAGAGGCAGGTGGAGATCTCTGTGAGTTTGAGGCCAGCCTGGTTTACAGAGTGAGTTTCAGGACAGCCATTGGTACACAAAAGTCCTGTCTTGAAAAATGAGACCAATAATAATAATAATAATAAAATAAAAAGAGAAAAAAAAACCCAAGTAGCTATACAAACTTTATTCACAGTTGCAAAACTTAGAAGCAAGCAAGGTATATTTAAGTCGCTTGATAAACTGTGTATGTCCAGATGATAGGATAATGTTCAGTGTAAACAAAAGGCCATAGAGAAAACTTAGTAACTACTGCTGAGTGGAAGAAGCCAATATTGTATGATCCCAACCACATGGCCTCCTGAGAAAGGCAAAACTTTGGAGACATTAAAAAGACAATAGTGCCTGAGTAGAAAGACAATAGCAACAGCAGAGGATTTTTAGGCTAGTGAAACAACTGTGTATGACTCTATAATGGTGAATTCATGTCTTTATGACAACATTAAACTCATGGCACGTACGCTACCACGACTAAGTTCTAAGGTAAACTATAGACTCTGGGTGATAGTGCTGTGTCAGTCCATGTGTGTATAGTACCGGAGGTTGTGTGTGATTGATAGCAGAAGGCATATGAGAAGTCTCTGTTCAATGTTGTAGAAATGTAACACTCCTTAAAAAGTGAAATCTATTGAGAGAAATTCAGAGCTGAAGAGTCTCTGTAGTTGACTCCAATTAATTATTCTCTATTTAATGACATCCTATGTGAAACATTATTGAAAATTCTATGTAATCACACAAACTCCAATAGATTTTGGGGATTTTTTGTTTTGTTTTGTTTCTTTTTTGAGACAGGGTTTCTCTGTATTGCTTTGGAGTCTGTCCTTGAACTGACTCTGTAGACCAGTCTGGCCTCGAACTCACAGAGCTCTGCCTGCCGCTGTCTCCCAAGTGCTGGGATCAAAAGCGTGTGACACCAATGCCTGGCTTTTATTTTGTTTTGTTTTGTTTTGTTTTGTTTGAGACAGGGTTTCTTCATGTAGCCCTAGCTATTCTAGAACTAGTTCTGCAGACCAAGCTGGCCTTAAATTCATAGAGATCTGCCTATCTCTGCCTCCTGAGTGCTGGAATTAAAAGTGTACACCACCATCACCCAGCCTCCAATAGATTCTCAACTTTTACTGATCCCCAGTTTTATAAAGCAAAATGACTTCTTCATATCAGCTTCATATCTTTTAATTTGGAAAATATTGGTCTGGGAATGTGACTAAGTGGTAAATTATATGCATAACATGCCAAAGACTTATGTTAAACCTTAACATTAATCTAATATATATATTTATGCATGTATGTGTCTGTACATCTCCAGAGGTGCTTATTTCTCTCTAATTACTTTTTGCAAATGTGTCATAATAGTACTATGTGAAATGTTTTGTTTCATTTGTATTGTCTTTATACAATTTAAAAGCAACAGTTTTGATTTCGTTTAGGTGTTCGGATATCTACTTTTTCCAACAAAGATGCCAAGAAGCACCAACAAAGGGGCATCATTGGCTTCTTACAAGCTGGACAGCGTGCTTTGTCATCTCCTGGGTGTTCTGTAGACAGAATCGACAAAACCGAGTTTGTCAAGCCTTCAGAAATACCTCACAAGAAGAGCTTCTTTGATAAAAAGCGATCAGAAAGGCTCTCGAACCATCAAGATACACCCAGATGTGAAGTTGTGAATCAGCGAGCTTTACAGACCTCACAGCCATTCAGAGCTTTCAGAAAGATGCGTGAGAGTTTGGAAACATCAGAGAATTCAAATAACTGTCAGACATTCACGTGTCCAGTTTGCTTTCGGGAGCAGGAAGGTGTCAGTCTGGAAGCCTTTAACGAACATGTAGATGCATGTCTTGATGGACCATCCACCAGTGAGGACTCGAAAATGCCCTCTTACTCACAAGCTTCCTCAACAGCTGCTGGTCAGAAGGAAGATGCAAGCCATTCTATCCCACCATGTGAGCATTGCGATTATGAAGATGGAGAGGTCGAGTCAGTAGATGGTGCAGATGGGGCAGAGACTGTGGGCCAGTCATTGACAGCAGTAAGTGCGGACACTACAGGAAGTAATCACAGCAAAGAGGAGCATTCTGATGCTCCAGACCAGTCTTGTCCTATTCCATTGGCAAATGAAGCTGTCAGAATGTTAAGTGAGCAAGAATCCATCTGGCCCTGTACAGATGACGTAGTAACAGGACAAGCTCTAGTTTGTCCTGTTTGTAACCTAGAACAGAAGACTTCTGACCTTACCCTCTTTAATGTGCATGTGGATATTTGCTTAAATAAAGGCATTATCCAAGAACTGAGGAATAATGAAGCTAATTCAGTTAGCCAACCCAAAGAAAGCTCCAGGAGTGCTGGTGAGTTTGTAGTTATTAAGAGGAATGGGGGAGGGGCAGTAATACTTGCTGGTCTTGCTTAGGAACTGGGGTTGGTCCCCAGAACCCACATGGTGACCCTACCATCTCTAACTCCAGTTCCAAGGGATTTAGTGCCTTCTTTTGGCCTCAACAGGCACCAGGCACACACGGTACACAGACATACATGTAGGCAAAACACCAATGCACTTAAAATTAAATCCAATGCACTTAAAATTAAATTCAAAAATTAAGAGGAATGTGATTTTTCCAGGGATATGCCTTATTAAAATTACTGAAACTTAAGTTTGAAATACTATTAAAAGAGTGCCTTGGGTTTGTCTCGCTGAGGGAAGTAATAATTCTGCCTTAACCATGGCTAGACATAACTCAAACTTGAGCTTTTGAATTTAGGGGAAACTCCAGTTTAGTTTTGATTTATGTAGAATAAATTGAAAAGTTGAAGGATCAGAGCGACCCCCGGGAAACATCTTCCAGTGCGCAGTGACAAATCGGCTGTGTTGACAGGGACAGGAAGCCTTTCGCTTGTTTCTCTGTAGTGCCGACTGTAGCAAGATTGCCGAAATTAAGTTTAATGCCAGTAGGACCAGTAAATTCTAAGGAAACGGTAATATGAGATCAACCTTGTGAGGCTGGCAGTGTGGCTCGAGGCTGTGGGTGCTCTATAACAAGCCTTTCAACCTGATTTTCATCTCTGGACCACATGATGGAAGGAAAGACTTCCAAAATATCCATTCACCTTCACACGTGCACATGCACACAGAAGCACTAATTTAATTAATTTAAAACAATAGTCTCAACAATTAGTTTGGGATATGTATAATATTACCTTTATTCTGTCAGTTTTGTCTCTAATTTTTGTGAAGCTTTTCAACTATTTTACCTTTTCACTCACGGAATTTCTTGGCTTTCTTTGCCTTACAGGCAGACTTCAGAAGGCTGCAGGGAGGACAAAAAGGTATGGCTGCCCTGAGCTTCAGTAAAGAGAGCTCCAAGCTGTTTTGCTCTGAGTTTAAGGGGCTAAACTTTGCTTTTATGAATAACCAAGTAATGTTTTAAGAACTATTTTTTGCAAAATTGTTCTCAAGTATTTCCTTCTACATAGAAATTGCATATTTTTTTTCTCATTCCAGGCTGGGACAGAGGACAAAGTGGTCTACATCGAAGAAAACAAAACCCCAAAGTCCCAGACACACCCTTGATGTATTTTTTAAATGAACTTTAAACATTTTATCAACATCCTTATTGGGATTTTTAGTTTTGTAACCAATGTATTTATTCTTCCTCATTTTAAGATTCATTTAGGGAAGACAAGTGCAATAGTGCCTCCCCATATGACCTTCTTAAGGAACGCAGACTGCATATTAACTTATTTCTTTATATTTCCTTTAATAACCTTAAGATTTCACTTCCAGTGTTTATCAGTTGGAAATCAGTCATGTTAAAGACAACTTTAAAATGAAATTAAAGGTGGAGGTCGGAAGATGATGTGTTATTTTATAGCGAGCATAAAATACTTAGAAGGACTCTGAGTCGTGTGCACTAATTTCAGCTGAGCATCTTAGTGCTTAGCCACCGTGGTGCCATTGGTGCTGCTGTACTTGGCTCTTGTGTCTGATTTGAGTGTTCTGTGAGCATTCGTAGTTAGATTTAACCAGGATGTCTGTGAAGAACATTTGTTTAACAGAAATAGCACTGTACACTTGTTACCTTCACAAAAGCAGTGCACAGCATTGCTTGTGTTTGAAGGACTTGTTCAAACTACTGTGTGTTGTTTTTCCTTACAATTCTTTTATCTTATAAATAAGCATTTGCTTCATGTAAAGAAATCTTTAGTCTGCCATTCAAAACAGTTTGTTTTTTTTTAACTCAGTACTTTAGGTAGCAGTATTTCATTTCTTGGTAAATATGTTTAACCTTCTACAAATCTGTAGTAAACAAGATAAGTTGAGTAGTCACTTGATCTTCACTCTACTCTTTAAGAGGAAGTGTACAGCTCGGAAGATGTACGCCTGAGAAAACAGCACTGACCTCAGCTACATGTCTGTCACATCTTTGTTAATATTTGTGGAAGAAGAAAGATCTGTAGCAGTTAAGGAGTTGCTCCTAACATGGTGCCACCCACAAGTTCTTATCAAAAAGCCCCTTTTGCTACTGCTTTAAGAACTGAATCTTGCTGGGTGGTGGCGCACGCCTTTAATCCTCAGCTCTCAGAAGTCAGAGGCAGGTGGATCTCTGAGTTCGAGGGCAGCCTGGTCTACGGAATGAGTTCTAGGACAGCCAGGGCTACACAGAGAAACTGTGTGTCAAAAAAACAAAAAGAGGAAAAAGAGAACTGAATCTTTTTTCTTATAGTTTGGCCTCTGAATATTTTAGTGCATTTTGAGTGGACAAATATTTGAGGGATAGCTTCCTTAGGGCTTTGCAAAGCCTTTGTTGCAGTGGTAACCTGACTTTTAATTTCCAGCCTGTTCAAAGATGGGCTGAAAGCTTGCTGACGTGCAATTCCCTTACCTGATTGTCCACACCATCACAGTTCCAAAGCAGCAGTGTTTTTGTTATCGATTGTGATTTACTTATGTAAAATATTTATAAAATTAGATTCAGTGAAATATAAAATTAAATTCAGTGAAACTGATTTAATATATTAAAAAGTAGATATTACTGTATTTATTGTTTTCTCCCATCTGAAGTTTATTTTTATTATTTTCAACATTAAATAATATATTATTTTCAATTGTGTTCACCACTTAATTGAATACCATCATATATATTAATAAATAAAATTTTAAAACCTTGTTTTAGAATTTCTTACATGTGTAATGTATTTGCATCATTTTCTTCTCTTACTATCTTCCAGCTTCTCCTGTGTTCCTCTCAATCCCTCTCAAATTCATGACCTCTTTTTAAATTATTATTGTTACATATAGAGGTGTGTGCGCGCATGTATGCACACACTTATTACATGTATATAACCTGCTGAGTCCATCTAGTACAGCTCATACGTCTGTGTGTTCTAGGGCTGACTACTTACCAGGGATTGTCCCTGAAGAAAACTGACCCTCTTTTACCAGTCATTAAGTGCTTGTAGCTCTTCATCTAGGACGGAGCCTTGTGAGATTTTTCCCCCATCCGCATTTCCCACACGTTGTCGTTGTGTGGGTCTTAAGTGACTATATTATTGAGATTTTGTGGGTACAGCTTCCTTGTCAAGAATAGAAGACATTGCAGTAGACATCCTGGTCCTCTGCCTCTGCAGTCTTATCACCCCGTCTTCCCCTGAGCCTTAGGTGCAGGAGCGGTGATGTAGGTGCATCAGGCAAGGTGGTATATTCCCTTCTCAGCAGGAGAAAGAGGGCTTCTTAGAGAATTGCTGCTTCCTCACCCGAAGACTCCTAAGCCAGAAAGCTTTGTCTTGGCCTCTCCAGCCCCATGCAAGTCCCTTGCCTCTCGCATTCCTTTGTGTGTCTTCTCAACGTTGAATCATACCTCGAATTAGTTTCACCATTCAGACCATCCTCTTCCTCAGGCGTCCGTCTGCCATCTGGTTGTCGATAGAGTGGCTCCTTTGCACTTCCGGGTCACAGTTAATCTTCAAGGAAAGACCAGGCAGGTAGCCAAGGGCAAAGCCTGGACGCAGCGCTATAGAGGAACACGGTTGTTGACTTGCTCTCTGCTTGCTCCATGCACAGATTTCTCTACATACCTGAACTTCTTCTCTTCTCCCACGTCCTTTATTAGCTGTTTTGTCTTGCCTTTTTTTTTTTTTTTTTAAGTTTTTAAAGCATTTTTAGAAAGCATAATGAAGCTTAGAAGTCACAATTAATGAGGACCCATAACCTTAGCGAATCAAATCATGGAAAAACATGTTTGCAACACATGTATCTAGTATTGGTGTGGGGTGGGAGCTAATATCTGGGATATTAAATTGATTCTTAATTGAGACTCAGGAAGAACAATGGTCAGTATAAAGTGATACAGAGGTCTTCAAATGGCATTTCACAGGAAAGAAACCCTGAATCAGCGCAAGAGCTATAAACACAGTCTTAGCCAGATTAGTCGCCTGGTCCGGAACACTAGACCGCAAAGGGTGTATATTCCTACTGTGTTAACAAAAAGAAACAATTCGATGTTGCTGGGTTTTAGAAATGATCTGAACCCTCACTTTGAGAATAATCACTTTTGAAAACAATTTGAATTTTGGTCAGTTTAGCAGATGAAGTAAGTAAAAAGCAGGAACAAGTAAAAAATGAAACTTCATATGGTTGGTGTGTTTGCCTAGATTATTTTTTTTTGAGAGAGAGCTTATTTTTAGCTCACTTGCCTACTTTTAAAAAAATCTACATTTTTTTTTCAGAATTCAATAAAGTTCTGTCTGTAAAATCAATACTGTCCCTATAAATCAGTTCTAACCAATTAGAAAATAGAATAAAACTAATCTTGTTTATTATGGGGATCTGTGAGGTACCTCAGAAGGAAAATGTTTAAGGATTTGGAAACTAGATGGACAGTACAAGTAAATAAATGAAATAATCTTATTCATGAACAGGAAGAATGACTATATAAAACTAACTCTCCCCTTCCAGTTATACTGTTAAGTACAATTCAAAACCCCTTAGAAATTGGTAAATAGTGCCAGGGATGATGGCACACACTTTAAATACCAGCATTAAGGAGGCAAAGGCAAGAAGATCTCAAGTTCAAGGCCAGCCTGGTTTGCATTCTGAGACCCTGTCTCAAGAAGAGAAAAATAGATAAGTAGATACTAAATTTTATGTAGCAACTTGTTAAGTAGCATTGGTCATGGAAGGGGTACTTTAAATAATCTAGTATGAAAAATGTTGGCTGTTAAATAAATGACCCTTTTTGGTTAATAAAGAGAAAAATTAAATTTGATTGCAACCTAACTGTGCTAGGAGTCCCTGGGCTCCCCTCAAGCCTGATTGTTTGCTAGAAGGACTAACACAACTGAGAAAACTGAAGAGACCAAGATTACAGTTTGTAAGAGTAAAAAGATAAAAATTAAAACAAAGCAAACAGACCAGATATGGCTCAGAAGTAGGGTGCTTTTTTGTATACTCACAACCCTTTATTTGATACACAGCATAGTGTGGGGGTGGGGTCAGCAAAGCCTCGTGCTCCCAGAGGAGGCATATGAAGTATACACAATCCTCCCACGAGGACTGTATGCCAGCACATGCAGAATATTGACAAGCAAGACTCCCCTCTCTGTCCAACCCTTGCTGCCCAGAATTTTTCCTGGAAGTCTGTGACAGATGTTCCTGTCATCCCATTTGACCTTAGCTTTCAACCATCCAGAGCTTACTGGTCCAAGGTCTCAGTCTCCAGAAGGCACACATCCAACATAAGCTAGTTGGCAACATAAGCTATCTCCTCAAATGAATACAATGTGGCCCAAAGCCATGGATGTGGAACATTTTTATCAGTCTGCTAAAGGCCAAGGGCTCTGAGGCAGGTTCTGAAGAGAGACGTCTTTCTTTGCAAAATCTAGGAGTTGAGCAACCTGAACCTGGCAAGGTAACCCTTACAGTTTACTTGCAAAATAAATGTCAGTCAGAACTGTATATGAACAAAGAATAAAAAGATAAGGATTTTAGGGTGACATTTTCTGCCTTTTATTTTTAATGCAGAAAAGAAATCTCAAATTCTTAACATGTTGGGAGAGTCTCAGATAAGGAGTCTGGTCTGTTTGTTTGTGGCATATCATTATTAGTATGCACAGCAAGGAATATAAACAAGCCTAGTGATTGCATGTCAGTACAACAGTCTCTGTTATGGAATAATCTTTGTGTACACTGTGAAGATGTATCTTTGCCAAGGTGCCTCTGATTGGTTGATGGGCCAGTAGCTAGGCAAGAGGTATCTGCGGGACAGCAAAACACAGAGGATGCTGGGAGGAAGAAGGGTGGGGTCTTGAGAGACAGAGAGAAACACGATGAACACGCCATGTTGAAAGAAGGTACCACCACGTGGCCAAGGGTAGAGAAGAAATATGGGTTAACTTGAAATATAAGAGTTAGCTAGTAACCAGCCTGAGCTATCTGCCAAACATTAGTATGAATAAATCTCTGAATGGTTGTTTGGGAGCGGCTTTGGAGACACAGAGAAACTCTGCCTACATGTCTCGTCAATGAAAGACAAAGACGTCTCCTTTACTATGTCCTGTTCAGGTACATTATGGATAAACATCTTACTTCAGTCCTCTGTGACAACAGAAAGCAGCATTATGGGAAGGTAATTGTAAATACGGACCATTCTCGCAGAAATGCTTGTTTTCAATGTTGACACTGAATTGTTACAGTCCAAGAGCTTAGTGAAGAGTGATCTTCAAGAGACAGAAGTTTCCACAGTGACATGGTAGGAGGTCCTGTTGCTGGGTTAAAGAAAGAACTTCATGCTAAGAGACTGTGTAGGTAATACCCAATGAAAGAACATGGGAAATAAAAGGCAAGAGAAAGATAGCAATTGACACCTGGTGTTCTCATTTTAAATGTTGTTATTCATCATGGCTTATATGCAAGATCACCCCCCTTTTTACTGCCTCTACTTTTGTCAACTGCAAATATGTTATCAAATTCCATGTGCCCTGTTAGCGCCTTTTGTAAAGGTCCATTTTCTTTCCTTCCATGAAGCTTTACTAGTTGCCTACATGTTGACATTCCAACTGCTTCCTCAGCTCCTCCTGTCAACTAGAATTCCTTTTCAAAGATTGACCATAAGCAGTATTTTCAGAATATCATGTTGAGTTGCTTTGTTTCGAAAGCTGTTAACCCTGCAAGTTTGAGAGGAATGGTAAAGGAGGGGTTAGTGACTTTCTGTGTATGAAACCTGTGGTGCAAGCATTCTCATCTTGACACAAACTATATAATGTTAACCAGTCAAACTTCCTGAAAATGTCATAGCTCTTGATAACAAATAGAAGGCACCTGCCTTGTAGCAATGTCGATTGTGCACTCCTAACACTGACTTACAATCTGGTAAGCAGAGAGTCACACAGAAAACCACAGCAACTAATGCTTCAGGGTCTTCCTGGAGAAAGGGGAACATAAAACAGTGGCCAGTCCCGGAAGGAAGGGCATCCTTTCCTGAAGGGGCCTTTGGGCCTATTGAAAAGTGTTTCCATATGGTGGCGGAGGGTCAGTGGGCCTTAGGAAGCACATGCTGGACACACAGCAACGGAGCACAATGCAGAAGGAGAACTCTTCATCTTTAAGGTGGCTGCTAATCTGTAACTAGTCTGTGATTGTAGGGCTGGTAGAACTATGGGGCTATTTCTTGTGTATCTCTGAGTTCCAGGTGAGGTGGCCTGGCACAGTGTCAATGATCATTTGTAACGGAGCAGAAGCAAATGCAGAGCGTCTCAGGAGGAGCCCACTTGGGTCTGGCAGAGCATCTCACATTCTTAGTCTTGCAACACAGACCCTTGCAACAAGATATAGATGTATGACTGAAGGTTAGCCAGTGGGCTGTGTGAGGAAGCGTTGTGCAGTGTGCTAGAACCTTCCTCTTTTGGAAGCTTTGGCTTCCTGTTTCTCCCCTCTGCCCCACTTCCTGGAAGCACACACAACTACCCTGCCCCTGTGGGGGCACACGTGGGAACAGT